CTATTTCTGATCTCTTTTAGAACCTTTTGAGTCTAAGATACATGAGACTGTGCCCCAGACCCAGAATGATGGGTCCATGAATGCCCTTCTACAATGTGCAGTCAGAGTGAGCAGCCTCTGAAAACATTTTGCCCAGCAAGAAGTTCATGTTTCTCATTACTCGTTGCCTTTTGAGTTACAGCTTCAGACATTACTTTGACAGCCTCAGGTAGTTTTTCTCCATTAACATCTGTTAGCAAGAATTATTAACTTTTCTTTGGAATCCTAGCCCTTATCCTCTAACGACAGGCCTGGTCCTCATACGAGGTAGACTCATCTTGATTTCCAGAACACATCTAGCAATTTTCTACCTTCCTGTGTCTTTACTCCAGTGGTTCTCTCTTTCTGAAATAAACTTTCTGTCTAACTCCAATAATTTCACCATCTTTAAGCTCAGATGCGACATTCTCCCTGAAACTTCCTACAATCAACTTAATCCAGAATTAACCTTTCCCTCTAATCTTGATTTCCAGAACACATCTAGCATTTTTCTACCTTTCTGTGTCTTTACTCCAGTGGTTCTCTCTCTCTGAACCAAACTTTCTGTCTAACTCCAATAATGTTCACCATCTTTAAGCTCAGATTCGACATTCTCCCTGAAACTCCCTACAATCAACTTAATCCAGAATTAACCTTTCCCTCTATGCTCCACAGAAATTTATCACCCCCAATGGTCTTCTTCATATTATTGCTATTTGTGTATCTCATCATTTTTATTGGATTGTAAGCATCTTGAGGGCAAGACCCAGGGCTGCCCATGGCCACATGATAGGGATAGGGGAGCATCAGAGTTACAGCCAGGGGCTTAAATCCCACTGCCAAGTCTAAAACCTGCTTACACAGCGTATTAGCTACATGACCTTAAGTTAGTTACTTCAACTTTCTATTCTATATATTTTTTCACCTGGACCTGCCACATAGTCTAGTTAGGATGAAAGGAAGGGCTCTGCTGTTTGTTAGTAAGCTGCCTTGTGAGAATTCAATGAGGTGTTTCATGTAAAGTGCTTAGCAAGTACCTGGCATACTGTAGGTGCATAATAGTTGTTCACTATTTATAGTGCCTATGATAAGGTCTCCTCAATAATTATTTAATAAATGTTTATTGAGTGCTGTAGTAGTCTGCACAGGCTACCATAAAAAATATACTGTAGACTGGATGGCTTAAACAATAAACCTTTGCCTCTCACAGTGCTAGAGGCGGGAAGGCTAAGATCATGCTGGCTGCCAATTTGGTTCCTAGTGAGGATTCTCTTCCTGGCTTGTAGATGGTCACCTTCTCGCAGTATCCTCACATGAAAGAGAGAGAGAGAGAGAGAGAGAGAGGGAGGAACCGATTTCCTTTTGTTTTCTTATAAGTCCAGTCATCTCATTATGAGCCCCCCACCCCTCAGTTAATTTAACCCTAATTGCCTCCCAAAGGCCCATCTCCAAATACCATCATATTGAGGAGTAGGGCTTCAACATACTAGTATGAATTTGGGTCAGTCCATAGCAAGTACCTACACATTTGTTGAACTAGTCTAGGGATAGGGCAAGAAGCAAAACAAACAAAGATCCCTGTCTTGTGAAATTTATACTCTAATTGAAAGAGTAAGGCTGTGTGGCAAACAAAACCATGGCCCCCAAAGATGTTCATATTCTTATCTCCATAACCTGTGACTATGTTACATTATGTGGCAAAGGGGGATTAGGCTGCAGGTGGAATTAAGGTTGCTAATCAGCTGGCCTCCACACAGGATGACAATCCTGGATTATTTGGAGGCCTCACTGTAATCACAAGAGCCCTTATAAGGAGAAGAGGGAAACAGAAAGATCAGACTGATGTCACATGGAAAGGATTCCACCCGCTGTTGATAGTTTTGAAGATAGAGAAAGGGGACTGTGAGTCAAGGAATGCAGGAGGGCTCTACAAGCTGATAAAAACAAGGAAACTGATTCTCCCCTATAGACTTCAAAAGGAATGCAGCCCTGCCCACACCTTGATGTTAGCCCTATGAGAACTGAGACTTTTAACCTTCTGAACTCTAAGATCATAAATTTCAACCGTTTTAAGCCACTAAGTTTGTTACAGCCGCCCTGGAAAGACAGGCAGTATATATATATCAGAAACCAGATGCAATAAATTATGTGCAGAAAATTGGAGTAGGGAATGCGGATGGCAAGTGTTAGAAGGGTGATTGTAATTTTAGACAGAGTTGAAAGGGGAGGCCCCTGGTGACTTTTGAACAAATAGCTGAAGGAGGTGAGCTTGTCAGTCACGAAGTATCTGAGGAAAGCGTGTTCCTGGCTGAAGGCACAGCAAGTATAAGGCCCTGCAGTGGGAGCTTACCTGGCATTTCGAGGAACCACAGAGGGCAGTGTGGATGTCCTGGAATTGTGACAAGGAAGGCGGTAGGCAACAAGGTCAGTGATAAAGGGATGCCTGTTTGTGTTGGTTTTACAGGAAGCACCAAGAGGATTTTGAGTAGCAGAGTGACCTAATGTAGCATAGATTTTAACGGAATTACACTGGCTGTTGTACTGGGAATAGACCATATGGGAGAGGGGAGAATCGAGGGACTAGTTAGGAGGCTATAGGTATCTGTGGCTTAGACCGGAGTGGCAGCACCTTTGAAGGTAAAACCAACAAGACTTGCTGACAGATGACAGATGGAATAGAAAGGGAAGAAAAGTTACACATGATTCTGTAATTTGGGCCCTTACGGGACTGGAAGGTGGAGTGGCCATTCACTGAGGGAAAAAGACAGCAGATGGAACTAGTTGGAGGTGGAGGATCAGTTCAGTTTGGGTGAATTTTGGTACCTGAACTCCCCTCCCCACCCCTTCCCTTCAGCTTGCTTTTCTACAGAAGCAAGGAAGCGTACACATGAGGATTAGCAGCCAGAAATAAGCAGTATCTTGTTCAGTTCATGATAGAGTCAATGCAAGGCTCTGATAAGAGCTGGATTGGAGATTCAGATGTAACCCAGGATGTGTAGATGGAATGTTTGTGTCCTCCCAAAACTCATATGTTGAATCCTTACCCGAAGGTGGTCATATTTGGAGGTGGGACCTTTGGAAGGTCATAAGGACATAGCTCTTATGAATGGGATTAGTGCCGGTATAAATGAGGCCCGAGAAAGCTTCCCGGCCCCCTTCTATGTGAGGATATAGCAACACCGTGTATCCTCACCGAATCTGTTGTGCCTTGGTCTTGGACTTCTCAGCCTCCAGAACGGTGAGAAATAAATTTCCCTTGTTTAAAAGTCACCCAGTCTAGGGTGTTTTGTTATAGCAGCCTGAACAGACTAAGACACAGGAAGACCAAGAAGGGCTTGGATTTTAAACGCTGGCCTATCCTCCTCCAGCCACCAGGTAACAGGCTGAGCAGCTGTACAGAGTGGGTGAGAGCCGGGGCACCATTCATCACACTGACCCCACTCCCTGGTGAAAAATCTCCAGGAAATACCGAAGTTCCTCCCCATCACAGCGTCACCATTCCTTCCCAGGGAAGGAATGAGGGTGTGGAAGTGGGATAAAGGTTTTCTTTGCCCTCCGAGCAAGGTGAAAGAGAGACAGTTCCATTCGTGTTTGTGGTTAGACCCGGATGCCCTCTTCCCACTGCGAGCCCTGCTCACCTGCTCCCTGGAGGGTGAACCTCTCTCCAACGGTAGAAGTTGGATCTCAATGTTCTGCCTTAGGTTCTGAGGCAAGAAACTTTGTTTTTTCATCTTTTCGGGACAGGACGGAAAAGATCACATAATGAGAATTCTTGGGCAAGCAACAGCCTCTTCCCAATCAGGGACTACTGAGTGACAGAGCAGGGCCGTTAAAGGTAACCTGCAATGATTAAGAGATACTGCTTCTAATTGTTCTGGATGATGAAGTTCACTGATTGCTGTGAGGCTAAAAGATCCAAAGGAGCTTTAAAAGCTGTGACTGGGACTTGAGGCAGTTTGGAAATGAGATGGCATTACTCGGTGATGAACAGAGACAATGCTTGATGGCTGGGTTTTTGTTTCTGTTTCATCC